ATGTTAGTAGTGGTGGTGATGTTGGGGGAGGGGATGTTAGTAGCGGTGGCGATGCTGGGGGAGGGGATGTTAGTAGTGGTGGTGATGCTGGGGGAGGGGATGTTAATAGTGGCGGTGATGCTGGGGGAGGGGATGTTAGTAGCGGCGGTGATGCTGGGGGAGGGGATGTTAATAGTGGTGGTGATGATGTGGGAGGGGATGTTAGTAGTTGTGGTGATGCTGGGGGAGGGGATGTTAGTAGTGGTGGTGATGCTGGGGGAGGGGATGTTAGTAGTGGTGGTGATGCTGGGTGAGGGGATGTTATTAGTAGTGGTGTTGATGGGGGTGGTTGTGGTGGGATGGGTTGCCGTGGCGCCAAGATAATGGGTGCAGCAGTGTAAGAACGTGGATGCATCATCTTGGTCAACATTCTACTAGGCGTCAGCAACAAGAACCTCCTTGTCCTCTCTGTTCTCTTTTTAAACGCTTTCATGTATTACTGCCACTCATCTTATATACCCTTACTCCTCTAATTCCTCCTCCTAATGCTATTATTATTATTATTAATTTTTATTATTTCTTCTTATTATTAGTTTTAGTTGGTGTTGCTGTAATGTCTCAAAATTCTTTCCGCTCGCCGAATATTAAATGCTTTATTTGGTGTATATAAATAACTTTTAAGAACATCGGATAATAGGTTATGGTATATGTAGGTCAAAGGAGGTTCACATAACATGGTACTGAATACTAGTCATGTGGGAGAGAGAGTGTCAGTGCGTTTCCTGGAATTTCTTAACGAGCCCAGAAATTAACCCAGAGAGAAGGGGCTGCTGGCACCTTCAGTTCTCGCTGGGAAAGAGGAAAGCGGAACACGTGTCAGTTTGATCATGACATAAGAGAGGTGTAAAACTTAACCCATAATAGTATTAGATCAATACCTTTATTGTGTACCCCCCTCCCCATACTTATCTTAAAAGTGGTTGTCAAACGCAACACCCTCTCCCTCACACCATCTACCCCACATTTTCTTCCCTACACACCCTTCTTCCCCGAAAAAGCATCTCCCCACAACACCCGCATCCCTCTTTTTTACACATCTCTCTGCCCCCACACATCACCCCTAGCCCCTACCCATTCTTGCATACCTGGAGGTTATTCCGGGGATCAACGCCCCCGCGGCCCGGTCCATGACCAGGCCTCCCGATGGATCAGGGCCTGATTAATTAGGCTGTTACTGCTGGCCGCACGCAGTACAACGTACGAGCCACAGCCCGGCTGATCCGGCACTGACTTTAGGTATCTGTCCAGCTCTCTCTTGAAGGCAGCCAGGGGTTTATTGGCAATTCCCCTAATGCTTGATGGGAGGCTGTTGAACAGTCTTGGGCCCCGGACACTTACGGTGTTTTCGCTTAGTGTACCAGTGGCGCCCCTACTTTTTATTGGGGCATTTTGCATCGCCTGCCCAGTCTTTTACTTTCGTAGGGAGTGATTTCTGTCTGCAGATTTGGGACCATTCCTTCCAGGATTTTCCAAGTGTAGATTATGATACATCTCTCCCCCCTGCGTTCCAACGAGTACAAGTCAAGTGCTTCCAAGCGTTCCCAGTAGTTAAGGTGCTTGACAGAACTTATACGTGCAGTAAAGGATCTCTGTACACTCTCTAGATCTGCGATTTCACCTGCTTTGAATGGAGATGTTAATGTACAGCAGCATTCCAGCCTAGAGAGAACAAGTGATTTGAAAAGGATCATCATTGGCTTGGCATCTCTCGTTTTGAACGTTCTCATTATCCATCCTATCATTTTCTTTGCACGTGCGATCGTGGCAATGTTGTGATCCTTGAAAGTGAGATCCTCAGACATTACTACTCCCAGGTCCCTTACTTTATTTTTCCGCTCTATTGTATGGCCAGAGTCTGTAGTATACTCTGTTCTAGTTATTATCTCCTCCAGTTTTCCATAACGGAGTAGTTGGAATTTGTCCTCATTGAACATCATTTTGTTTACCATTGCCCACTGGAAAACTTGGACAAAACTTACTCTGCCATGTTCCCAGAGTGGGAGTCCTCTCTCCTCACCATCTTCCCACACACACACACCTCAAATTTCCACACATAAGAACCTAATATCATGCTTGGGGGGAGGGGGTTGTGAGGGGGGGTGAACTCCTCTTTCACTTCCAGATAGAGCACTTTCACCACTTTCTCAGTGTAATCTGCACTTTAAATATCAGAGACATTATACTGGTGAAAAATGGTATATTATATTCTTGGGGGGGGGGGTATGAGCATTAAATACGTAGGGGTCATTCAGTACCTGTTTAAGTGGGAGGCAATCAAGTTTGATCCAAGGAAGGGGTCAGGTCCAATTCTTTAAATCAAAAGCCCCTCACATGCATAAAAGAAAACTCCCCATAGGGAAAATGATTACAAATGTTCAAGGGAATGCATTTATTTATTGAAGAGAGAATCATGGGCTTGGCATCCCTAGTTTTGAAGGTTCTCATTATCCATCCTATCATTTTCTAGCAGATGCGGTAGATACATTGTCGTGGTCTTTCAGGGTGAGATCCTCTTGACATTATCACTCCCAGGTTCTTCACATTACTTTTTCACTCTATTGTATGATTAGAATTTGTTGTATACCCTGATACAGTTTTAATTTCCTCAAGTTTTCCATATCTGATTAGTTGAAATTTCTCTTCATTGAACTTCATATTGTTTTTGAGTGGCCCATTTGAAGATTTGGTCGATGTCTGCTTGGAGACCACAACAATGTATCTACTGCATCTGCTAGAAAAATGATAGGATGGATAATGAGAACCTTCAAAACTAGGGACGCCAAGCCCATGATGATTCTCTTCAAATTGCTTGTTCTCTCTAGGCTGTAATACTGCTGTACACCAACTGCCCCTTCAAGGCAGGCAAAATTGCTGACCTGGAGAGTGTACAAAATACTTTCACGGCACACATAAGTACGATAAAGTACCTAAATTACTGGGAATGGTTTAAGTCTCTTGATTTGTATTCCCAGGAATGCAGGCATGAGAGCTACATGATAATATACCCTTGGAAAATCCTAGAGGGATTAGTACCAAATTTGCACATGAAAATCACTCCCTACGAAAGCAAAAGACTGCAGGAGATGCAACATTTCTCCAGTGAAAAGCAGGGGCGCCACGAGTACACTGAGAAACAACACAATAAGTGTCAGGGGCCCAAGTCTCTTCAATTGCCTCCCAGCATACATAAGGGGGATTACCAATAGACCCCTGGCTGTCTTCAAGAAGGCACTGGACAGGTGCCTAAAGTCAGTACTTGACCAGCTGGGCTGTGGTTCATATGCTAGTTTGTGTGCAGCCAGCAGTAGCAGCCTGGTTGATCAGACCCTGATCCACCACGAGTCCCGGTCTCAGACTGGGCCACGGGGCTATTGACCCTCGAAACCCTCTCCAGGTATACTAACAATGAGAGTATGAGACTTACAGTTGGTGGTTACGTACCACTTATGCAGAGTTACTGTGATAGAAATAATGTAAACACTACATGGGAGTTATTACCAGGGGAGGAGCCAGAATTTTTATACTGGGGGAGGGTGGCTTAGGGATGGCTTTTTGATAGGTAGGGAGAGGGCCAGTAGGGTTGTTTTAAATCAGCATTATTACTATTTTTATTTGGGGGCTGCAGTCCCCTAGGACCTCTCTTGATGCCACCACTATATATTACAATGAGCATTCTGCAATAGAAATCTGAGAAATTAAAATACAAATTAGACTGATGAATGAGTAAACTTGAATAATTATTCCACTTTGGAAGGTTTCCTGAAAAGGCTAAGAGGACAGTAGCCTTGCCTCTTCATCCATGGAGGCCAGACCCTGTCTTACCATATTCTCTTATTTACAAGACTTAACCATTTCTTATTTACGTGAAACTCCATTGCTCCACCCTTGCTAAAAGTAATTAATCAGATATGGCCTGATACATCAAAATTTTGGACCAGTAATATTTGCCTTAAGACATGTTTAGTAAAATCCCAGGTTAATAGTACATTTGTTACTAAAGTGTAATAGTTTATGATAGACTGTAAGCACTGCTAAACTTAAAAGAATCTAAGGAAAATAACATGTAAAGAATGATTAGCATTATGAAAGCATGAAATGATAATATGTATATGCAGGGCTTAACCATAACAGAAAACTAAGAAGAGCCAATGTTCACTATATGGTAACCTATTAAGGGGGATGGGGAGAGCCAAGATGCAGGCAAAGGACCCTTGATCCATGGAATTGGGGCTTCCCCCCCCCCTTCTGATCAAGCCTGATTACCTCCCATTCCCCAGGTGCTCTGTAAGCCCTACAGGCTTAGTGCTTCCCCTTGATGACCATGACAATAATATATGGAATATCCATAGTATTTTCCACAGGGAGTGTTGTAGGTGTAAGAACCATGATATTAGTGGACAAATATTGTGGAAAATACTTGTATTCTCTAGTGTTAAAGGCAAGATGGATCATGACCCACCTCACCCTCCCTACCATATACAACACTAGCAGCTGAAGGGCTCCACCCTCTTGCATCTTAGGCTCTACTTAAAAACTTGTTCTTTATGGACTCTTAGAAGGAGCTATACATTTTGAACTTTTGGAATGCTTTATTTTCTATCAAAATATAGGTGTATGGTAAAGTTTTATTTATTACATTAAATTTTTTACATTTTTATACAGTAAGTGATACTAAGAGCTTTCTCTTGCCTTCATCTTTCTTTACCTATATTTCACATTTTTCCTTGAGAAAGATGACACATCAGGATATGATCTTTAGCAGCATCAGAAACTTAACACTGCATCTTCAAAGATTCAAACTAAGAGCAGTTGGTTTTCAACTTATGACAGCCATTATACCCCTGTACAGTGCCTACACATATATAATTTTTCACAACAAAATGTGCAGCATTTAGTGTATATTATAAATCTTAGCACATATAGTGTGTTCTCTTTGAACAGTATTTTTATTTTTATTTCAGACACACCTAAACCCAACAAAGGAGGAGGAGCAGCACTCTTAACTCGCGCACTCTCCTTTAAGGGCAGACTAGGTGGTAAACTGACCAGCATGAAGTCACCTAAAAGTAACTTAGGTAAGTCGAGTTTTTCCTGTCTAAATCTTGTCAAATATTTTTGAACTTGTTCTATTGCTTGATTACTTTTTTAATATATTATTTCTCAGCCAGATGATCAAGTTCAGTTTTATCAGCTAGCTAGTGACTTCGTTTAATGTTTTCATTGTTAGATACTGAATTTTGATGTCCATTTACTTTTGGCAAGACAGCTGTTATTTGAGTAATGATGAATGTCTTTCTTTCTTTAAATCACCCTACTTTGGTGGGAAATGACTGATTTTTTTTTTTTATCACACTGGCCGATTCCCACCAAGGCAGGGTGGCCCGAAAAAGAAAAACTTTCACCATCGTTCACTCCATCACTGTCTTGCCAGAAGGGTGCTTTACACTACAGTTTTTAAACTGCAACATTAACACCCCTCCTTCAGAGTGCAGGCACTGTACTTCCCATCTCCAGGACTCAAGTCCGGCCTGCCGGTTTCCCTGAACCCCTTCATAAATGTTACTTTGCTCACACTCCAACAGCACGTCAAGTATTGAAAACCATTTGTCTCCATTCACTCCTATCAAACACGCTCACGCATGCCTGCTGGAAGTCCAAGCCCCTCGCACACAAAACCTCCTTTACCCCCTCCCTCCAACCTTTCCTAGGCCGACCCCTATCCCGCCTTCCTTCCATTACAGACTGATACACTCTTGAAGTTATTCTGTTTCGCTCCATTCTCTCCACATGTCCGAACCACCTCAACAACCCTTCCTCAGCCCTCTGGACAACAGTTTTGGTAATCCCGCACTTCCTCCTAACTTCCAAACTACGAATTCTCTGCATTATATTCACACCACACATTGCTCTCAGACATGACATCTCCACTGCCTCCAGCCTTCTCCTCGTTGCAACATTCATCACCCATGCTTCACACCCATATGACTGATATGATTATAAAAAAAATGCTGATAAAATTGGTTGTATCTCGACTTCAACTAGAAATAAGCTTTAGGGGCCCTCCTTGGTCTTTGTTCCTTCTATCAGTTATTCACCTTTAAATTTCTCCAGTTACCTGTTTAGATTACTTTGGATTTCCCCAGTTACCTATTTAGATTTTAATTTATCCAGTTACCTATTTAGATTACTTTGAATTTCTCCAGTTACCTGTTTAGATTACAGTGGACCCTCGACATTCGATATTAATCCGTTCCTGAGAGCTCATCAAATGTCGAAAATATCGAAAGTCGAATTAATTTTCCCCATAAGAAATAATGGAAATCAAATTAATCCATGCAAGACACCCAAAAGTATGAAAAAAAAAAAATTACCACATGAAATACAGTGGACCCCGATTAACGATATTTTTTCATTCCAGAAGTATGTTCAGGTGCCAGTACTGACCGAATTTGTTCCCATAAGGAATATTGTGAAGTAGATTAGTCCATTTCAGACCCCCAAACATACACGTACAAACGCACTTATATAAATACACTTACATAATTGGTCACATTAGGAGGTGATCGTTAAGCGGGGGTCCACTGTATTAAGTTTAATGCAATAGAATAATTACAATAACAACAATAACATTAGATTAATAACAATAGAATAATTGACACTTACCTTTAATGAAGATCTGTTGATGATTGATGGGATGGGAGGAGGGGAGTGTTGATGGTGTTAGTGTTTAGAAGGGGAATCCCCTTCCATTAGGACTTGAGGTATCAAGTCTTTTTCCGGGGTTACTTCCCTTCTTCTTTTAATACCACTAGGACCAGCTTGAGAGTCACTGGACTTCTGTCGCACAACATATCTGTCCATAGAGGCCTGTACCTCTCATTCCTTTATAACTTTCCTAAAGTGGTTCACAACATTGTCAGTGTACAGGTTGCCAACACGGCTTGCAGTAGCTGTGTTAGGGTGATTTTCATCAAAAAAGGTTTGCACTTCAAGCCACTTTGCACACATTTCCTTAATCTTTGAAGTACGCAACTTCTTCAATTTCTCTATCCCCTCCTCCGAAGCAGTTTCCTCAGGTCTGGCCTCTTGCTGTTGAAGATGATCTAGCAGCTCATCAGTGGTTAATTCGTCATTGTCCTCCTCCACCAACTCTTCCACATCCTCCCCACTAACCTCCAACCCCAAGGACTTCCCCAATGCAACAATGGATTCCTCAACTGGCATAGGATTCTCAGGGTTAGCCTCAAACCCTTCAAAATCCCTTTTGTCTACACATTCTGACCACAGTTTTTTCCAAGCAGAGTTCAAGGTCCTCTTAGTCACTTCCTCCCAAGCCTTACATATAAGGTTTATACAATTGAGGATATTAAAGTGGTCCTTCCAAAACTCTTTTAGAGTCAGTTGAGTTTCTGTGGTCACTACTAAGCACTTTTGAAACAGCTTTTGTGTACAGTTTCTTGAAGTTGGAAATGACCTGCTGGTCCATGGGCTGCAGGAGAGGAGTGGTATTAGGAGGCAAAAACTTGACCTTAATGAAGCTCATGTCCGCAGAAAGTCGCTCTGCCACGTCTGAAGGATGACCAGGAGCATTGTCTAATACCAGGAGGCACTTAAGGTCTAATTTCTTTTCAATTAGGTATTTTTTCACAGTGGGGGCAAATGCATGGTGTAACCAGTCATAGAAAAAGTCCCTAGTGACCCATGCCTTACTGTTTGCCCTCCACAGCACACACAAATTAGCCTTGAGGATATTCTTTTGCCTGAACACTCTGGGAGTTTCTGAGTGATACACCAATAAAGGCTTCACTTTGCAATCACCACTGGCATTGGCACACATCAGAAGAGTAAGCCTGTCTTTCATAGTCTTATGTCCTGGGAGTGCCTTTTCCTCCTAAGTAATGTGGGTCCTGCTTGGCAATTTCTTCCAAAACAGGCCTGTTTCGTCACAATTAAACACTTGTTCAGGTTTCAATCCTTCAGCCTCTATGTACTCCTTGAATTCATGCACATATTTTTCAGCCGCTTTGTGGTCCGAACTGGCAGCCTCACCATGCCTTACCACACTATGTATGCCACTACAATTCTTAAATCTTTCAAACCAACCTTTGCTGGCCTTAATTCACTCACATCACCACTAGTTGCAGGCAATTTCTTTACCAAATCATCATGCAACTGCCTAGCCTTTTCACAAATGATCACTTGAGAGATGCTATCTCCTGCTATCTGTTTTTCATTTATCCACACCAATAACAGTCTCTCAACATCTTCTAACACTAGCGATCTCTGTTTCGAAAACAAAGTTGCACATTTTGCAACAACAGCTTCCTTGATTGCCGTTTTCCTGCTCACTATAGTAGAAATGGTTGATTGGGGTTTACTATACAACCTGGCCAGCTTCGACACACGCACTCCACTTTTCGTACTTTGCAATTATCTCTTTCTTCATTTCAATAGTCATTAGCACCTTTTTTCTCGAAGGGTTGGCACTAGAAGCTTTCTTGGGGCCCATGGTTACTTATTTTGCAGAAACAAGCACCAAAAACAGTGATAATATGGAATGTACCGAATGTATCCTTAGATGCGCGCACACTGGCTGGCTTGTAAACACTGGCACACACGGTGCAGTTCAGGCCACACGTGGACACATCTCATACAAATCGTATCGAATGTCGGGTTTTCCATCGAATGTCGAGGCTAAATTTTTGTGTTAAAATGCATCGAATGTTGGATTTATCGAATGTCGATGCCATTGAATGTTGGGGGTCCACTGTACTTTGAATTTCTCCACTTACCTGTTTAGAATACTTTGAATTTCTCCAGTTACCTATTTGGATTACTTTGAATTTCTCCCATTACCTATTTAGATTACTTTGAATTTCTCCAGTTACCTATTTGGTTTACTTTTGGATTTCTTCCTATACCTTGTTGAATTCCTGCAACTGTACAAGTTTTTCTCTAATTTCCTTGTAGATTATTACATTTACCGGCTCAAGTTGTTTGTAAATTTCATTTAAGATAATTTTTCTCAACTACTGTATATCTGATCAAGTCACAGAAAGTATTCATCATTAAACTCCATTACTTTTAGTTGACAGAGAGAGACACACAGGTAGCAGTTGGACACTTTTATTAAGACAAGGTTTTGCCTCCACAGCAGACAAAACCTTGAAATTTGATGTGTTGTAGTGGTAGTGGTGCATCATATTGTCTCTTGACAAGAAAATAAGTTTTGGAATTTTGCTTTACAACAATTTAAAAATTGTGTGTTTTGAGTAATTCATAGTAACATGGCTCTGTGGGCTGCAGTTAGCAATAGCCTGGCTGATCCAGTGATCACCAGGGAAGTCTGACCACAGGCTGAGCTGCACAAGTAGAGCTCTGTAAACCATTTACTGCTCAGGTACAGTCTCTCGTAGGTATTTGCTGGGTTGCCTTACAACATGCACTTCTGAAAATAAATTTCTTTGAAAAAGTGTGTATGAAGATTTTTATATGTACGTACTGCAAAGTATAATATTTTATATTATTTGGAAGAGTGAAATAGTATAATAGTACTGTACTCTAAACTGACAGTAGAATTTCTGTAATTATTTCTATTTTTTTTAGCCTGGGTTAAAAATTTTAAATCATTGATAATGAAACTGATGTCTGTGGTAGAGATTAAAGTATATCATACTGCATATACACAGAGAGAGATGCACACCTTTTTGCATAACCTTTGGATAGTCAGTGACTTAATGATATGACTTCTTTAACTGATGACCATGAGGTGACAGGTTTCTATATGTAGTTAGGTATATTAGGAGAACTGTTAACCCTTTCAGGGTTTCTGATGTACTAGTACGGCTTACACACCAGGGTTATTGACGTACAGTGGAACCTCTACTTGCGAGCGTGTCCACATGCGAGTTTTTCCAAATACGAGCAGTCGATGAGTCAATTTTTTGCTTCCATACGTGAGCAAAATTTCCACAAGCAAGCAGACCTTAACCCTTAAACTGTCCAAGCAGATCTACATTCACATGCGTAGTGCTCCAAAAGTAGATCTATGTTTCTTTTACATACGTATTTTCAA